TGGTTATAATAAGTATCTTAAACTGCATATCTGCAATGAATCATCCAATGTTCCATAGGATTCCTATCTCTTCCCCTCCATTAATACCAAGAGTAGAGATAGTCAGATCCCTCTTAGAAATGAGCCTAGAGAGCCAGACTCCACAAATCAAGGGAAAGCAGGCCTGATGTGTTGGTGACTGCTCTGCCAGACTGAATGCACAGAGGCTGACAGCTGACTCACCTTGGCATGCTCCAGTGCGGATGTTAGGGATAAAGCCCCGTCGGCAAGGCTGGGGCTGAGCAGGGCACATCTCACAGGGGTGGCCCCAGGCCCGTCCAATGGTGGCACAGCACAGGGTCTTTGTGCAGACAATGCCCGTCAGCTGCCCTTGGCACATCTGGTTGTTGACCTGAGTGAAGCATGGGCCTGTCCTGTAATCTGGAACGCAAAAGAATAAGGAAAAATGGATTTTATGATCGTATACCATTGCCTCCAAACGCAAAAAGCAGAAACTGCTTTGTCTCACACCAAAGTGTCTCAAGGCTGAAGTCCAGAAAATTTCATTCAACATTTCCTATTTTTCATTCACAAGTGAATTAAAAACGTCAGTACATTCCACTACGACTAATTACTATGCACCGCTGCAGAGTTGAATCCAATTCCTAGTGACCTTATACAGCATTTCCAAGGCTGTACATCTTTACAGGAGTAGAAAGCCTTGTCTTTCTCCTACAGAGGTTAGTTAATGGGTTCGAACGGCCCAATGGGCGACCCACTACACAGCAAAGCACCTTTGTGTTCTATGGTAATTTGAAACGGGTGGGTAACAAGCTGTAGCTAGGACACAAACTTGTGTCACGGTAGAACTGTTAATGGCTGATTACCCAGAATTGATCTACGTGAACTGTAATTGCCAACCTTTCAGTCAGCAGCTGAGCACAGGCCCTGCCAATCCCACCCTGGGATACGTCTGAGGAGCCCTGGTGGCACAGTGGGGTACTCTGGCTGTAAACCGCAAGGTCAGTAGTTTGAAACTACCAGCCACTGTGCAGAGAAAAAAAATGAAGCTTTCTCTTCTAGTAAAGAGTTCTTCTTAGGGACCCACAGGGCCAGTTCTACTCTGTCCTACAGGGTCGTAATGAGTCAGACTCGAGTTGATTGCAGTCAGTTTGGTTTGGGAGTTTTGTGAGCTTTATCCACACAATCCCTCCCTCTGCTCTATTTTCAATGAATCCCTTAGATGCTCAATACACTTTTTTTTTTCAAGTCGAACTAAATCATACACCACATAGATTTTACTTAGAAGCTGTTTTTATTATCACTGCCCTTTTAAGAGAAACAGGAAGTCAAAGAAATGTCAATTTCACTAGGCTGGAGCCATTCCAAGATTCATATTTGCTATGAAATTCCAGCAGGAACATGTGAAGGAGTTCTGCTTCCCCCTTTCACATCGATTGTACACACAGTTTAACTCTTGTGTGAGAAGGTTTCTGGTCAAGACCAACACAAGCTGTATGGTTACATTTGAAGGGAAAAGCTCAAGCAGGTTAAATTCAGATTTCCACAAGAACAACATACGGTTATCACATATACAAAGGAAGAGGAATCAATCATATTGGCAACATTTCCATGGGGAAAAGACATTACTGGAAAACAAACATCAAACACGGATAGAGCATTCAAAATGTTCCAATTTCAGAAGATTTAGATATCATGTAGAACAAAAACAAAACTTCGTACCACCTAAGACTAGAGTAGGTAACTTTTTTGGCAAGCTGGTTTAAGATTCTGTTATTCTATAGCTGAACTTCAACAAAAATAAGCTCCTTTTAATCTCCTACATAAGAACAACAGATGTGTTGGCTGAAAATGAGGTTCTCTTGTTCTTTTTTTTAAAGACGAACTTTGGAGCTTAAGTGTAGCTATGTCAACCTTGTAAATAAGCAAACTTGCATACTTCCCACACTACAAATTACCAGGTCATAAATGTTTTAACTTAACTATTGTCCTTCAGACAATAAAAACTTTGCCATTTAAAATAAATATTACTAGAACCTGTGCCAGTTGCCTTTAAGTCAATTTTGGACAGTGTTTTGAATGGATTCATTCACACTCAACCCCCCTACCAAAAACTTGCATTTCCACCTCCAGATCCATGGACTCAAGAGTCTCTATTTTAGCAAGATTGACCCAGGAGAGTCTCGTACACATATCCCCAAGTATATCTTCTGGCTATCTTTCACTCCTTGGCAATATGAACTGCATGTATTTGCTTATACGGTACAGTAGATTTTAGAATTAAGTACCTCACTGCTTAAGGGAGTCAAAACCATTAAATTA